GAATCGGGAAGAGGCGAGGGCAAGCAAGCGAGAGAGGGAGAAAGGAGAGCAGAGGAGAGGAAGCGAGGATCAGAGGGAGGGAGAGCGTAAGAGAGAGAGAGAGAGCGAGAGCGAGCGAGAGGCTAAAGCCACGGATGGGCCATTCAAGCGGCGCGTCCAAGACCCAGAGTGAAAAGGGAATGGCGTGGAATTTTTTCTCCCACCCGTCCAGGTTCTGGGGGAGCCGATGTCTGGGATGGTGAGTGCGCTTAGGGAACAGCTTCGAGGTGGTTTGCACCTAAACTGCCCTTGCCTATATTTTTCGTCCCTTTTCTTTTTTATCTTGTTCTTTTTGGGGGGTGGTTTCACCCTTGTAGCCCCCGTTGGGGAAGGTTAATAATCCACACGGCAGAATTGAAGAATGAGGGGGGGGGGAAATCGTGGAAGAGCGAAAAGGACAGAACCGACGACGGACAGGCCGGTCGAGGAACGAATTGGAAGCTCGAGGGGACGAAAGGGAGGGGGGGGGAGACCATGGGGAACCAAAGGGAAAAAGGCAAGATTGCGAGGCCGGCCGGAAACGAACCCACGCCAAACCCAGGCTGAGCTTCAAGAAGGGGGGGAAGAGGGAACCACAGCAGTCCTGAGGCACTCCTGGCCGACCTCAGCTAGTCCTGAACGCAAAGTACCTTCAGTCTTCCTCTTTTCTTACCTGGCAACAACCCTGGACTAGCCTGTCTGGCACGCATGGTGAACACCTGAGGGCTCAGGCAGCACTGGAACTGCTGCCTTGGGGGAACCTCGGGTGGGGAATCTCACTTATCTGGTTCCGGCAGGAGCAGTGCCTCTCAGCCCCCAATCGGGGTAGACATCATGCCAAGTCCCAATTCGGGCATAGCGGGTGGAAATACCAGTCTGACTGTCATCAGAAGGAGAGGCAGAGTCACTCTCCGTCCAGGGACATCCCAGACATCCTCGAGAGGCAAATGGAGTTTCAAACCCCCAATACCCTTACCCAGTGCCAGCATTGCGAAGGATGGGGTGGGAGACGAAAAAGAAGGAAAAAAGAAAAAAGAAAGGACCGACGAAAACAAAATCAAGGGGAGGGAAAAACCAGACTTCACTTGGCTGTGGATCTTTAGAAGCAGTTTCGGGCCAAAGTCTCGCCTGTCGTAGGTCAGTGAAGCCGCCTTACAACGCATGCATGCGTTGTCTAGCCGTCCTAGCGGTCAGGAAACAATGCAGACGAAGTAAAGAAACAGACTGGTGACATCCAGATAAATATAGAAAAGAAAAGAAAAGAAAAGAAAAGAAAAGAAAAGAAAAGAAAGAAGAAAAGTAAAGCAGAGTAAAGAGATATGGTTAGTCACGAGTAAATTAGTTAGCATCAGAGCAATGTCAAGTGATGAGCAAAATCAAGTGGTTATCTTTGGTCGCTTATTGTACCTGACTCCAGGCGGCAACACCGACGAGCGGCTGCATGCTTCACAGTAAAGCCACGTCGAATTAAAGTGTCCGGTGAAGGAGCTGTAGTTCCAGATGAATGGAAAAGTCGTCAAGTCAAATAGTGAAACGAGAGCAAGCCCAAGTCCTCGTCACAAGCCCTGGGGGGATGTAATATCCGAGGATATCATACCCGGAGGATCTGGTGGGTTGGGGGAGAGATGAGGAGAAAGTAATGAGAGAGAGGTATGTGACAGAGTTACCGGGGTCCCCCAGAGATTTATGAGGTATCGTCCTCCGTGAAGGGTTGTTCCGGCAGGTTAATGGGAAAAGGGGAGAGAGGGCTGGAAGGGGAAAGGAAGAGAAGGAAATGGTCTGTGAGCAGGACTGATGATTTTGGAAAGGAAAATTGAAATCCGAATCCAAAATCAAAATCGACAACCCGAAAGATGCTGGGCAGCTGGTTAGTTAGTTGGGGATCCTCCATGGCTTGCTAGCCTCATGAAAAATTATCCCATTTTACCCGTCCAGTGGGGGGGAGGAAAGATGGGTGGTATTCAGGTATTGAGCATTACGCTGGAGAGAGAGAGAGAGAGAGGGAGGGAGGGAGGGAGGGCGCTGAGGGGGTCGAGAGGCAGCGGACGAGGGACTTGACTGACTGCCAGGGAAGGAAGAACAATAATTGACGGGAGTGGGCAGATCGGGGTAGTAAGGACGAAATAAAAATATGATGACGGGCGTGCTCAGATAACATGATCTCGGCCTTGCTCTTGATAGAAAGGGTAAAAGGGGAGATTTCGCGCAAAAGTGGGAGAGAGACTGAGGGGGAAGCCGTGGCCTAAATTAATAGCGAGCAGGTCGTGTTGGCTGCTGCGACAACTTGCTGTTGTTACTTACTTAACTTACTAGTCGGAAGGCTGACTGACCTAAAGCGGTGATGATGATGGCAAAACGACATCCGAAGCATCATCAAATCATCCCATCGCCATCGGCACTCTTCCCTTCCCCCAACTCGTTTGGACTTATGATTTCTTGATTATTAGAGTATAATGTGAACTTACTACTTCTCATGATAATGTACAATGATTATTGGACCTTTGATGTTTGAATTTCAAGCCCAATTACTCTACACTCTCCCTCTGATATGGTCTCCTCTAGTAGACGCAGTATTACTTGGGCGCTACTACTGCAAGTACTAGTGCGTGAAAATTACGTTAGGGGCTGACACGCCGGTTCCCGTGCGTGGCGAACCGCCCCCCGAACAGGGCCTAACTGTATGGATGTATAGTATGGTCATAGTAGTAAGTCTTTTTCTCCTTCCCTTTTCCATGTATCGATCTGTCTTTGTTATATAACGTAACAGACAATCCTTACGCCTGTTAAAGTCTTATGATAGCACCCAGGGATGGTGCTTGCTAGACTTTGGTGCCTGTAGTTGCAACCTACCTTTTTCCCATTTGCTACTGATTCACGTCTTCATTATAGCCTACTACTATATGCCATTACCAGCGACTACTCAAACCTCCTATGGTTGGCCATCAAGGAGAAGGCTTGAGATGGCGTCATTGTCCACCACGGTACTGAATGATTGAGGAATAAGATAAAAAAAACAAGCATCATTGATTAAGGAATAAGGATCTCAGGACTGTACAAACAATAATGGCAGAAGCGGCTGGCTCTCCGTGCACTATCAATACAAATAAAGTTGCGAAGGAAACGGAATCACGACAGCCGACCAGGACATTTGCTACGGGCGAGAAATGAAAGTACGAGGTAGGTTCAAGAGTAGTCTCTCTCAAGGTCCCGGGGGACTCGAGACCGGGGCACTGGTTGACGGTCCATCGCGCTCCGGCCCAAACATTCTCCACCAGCTTCGACGACTGGTCGTCCCATCCTCCGACTTGAGCTTCCGTTGTAAAATGGAAGTTCTCGCTTGGTGGCCGAAATAGAGTGAGAGGAATGACAAGATCCCAAGGTACACAGGAATAGCGTTTCTCATTCTCAATTGTGACCAGGACTGGACCGGGAGCTCCTCGGACGATGGCGGGGGGAACGCAAGAACAAGAGCATTGGCAATGGGCAGCAAAGTGCAGCCTAGGATCCCAACATATACTCCATAGGGCTGGATGCGGGACTGGTGGACTCGAATAAAGCCCTGTTCCTCGGTCTTCCTCCGGAACCGAAGGTAAATGATACTCGAGCAAAGCCATGAGATGGAGCCCGACGTAGTGATAAAGTACATGAGAGAATTGAAAAGGGCCGAGCTGGACTCTGCCAGCGACAGGAAAGCAAACAATGAGAACAGCGCAGATGTCAGTATGGCCACATAGGGCACTTGATACCGGTTGCATCGAGTAAGCATTGCTGGAGCATGTCCAGATTCGGCCAAGGTGTAGAGTGTGCGAGAAGATATGTAGAGGAAAGAGCGTCCAGAGGCGACCGATGAAAGGAATATCAACACGGTCACCAGAATCCGTAACGCGGGGATGCCCGCGCGTACAAAGCCCACGACGAAGGGCGATGAGCCAGCGCCCGTGCCATAGTTGGTCAATCGAGGCTCATCAAATGGACTAACGAAGGTCATCATGAACGCGCTGAGAATGTAGAGGGCAAAGAGATAGCCACTGTCCGTTCGGGCCATGCTCAGGATGCTAGGACCTCCTTCCGCGTTGGAACGCTCAGCTCTCTGAACAGTAATTTCTGGTGTCAGGGTGAAAGAAATCACGCTGTATAGAAAGCATTGTAGGAAGCCAAGGAAACGCCCTCCACCGCCGGGAATGAGATACTCGTTCATCGGGCCAGGTTCGTGCCAGTAACGAAATCCTCGTATCGGTGTCCCTGGGATACCTCGGATTGCTAGGAATAGCGAGCAAATTGTCAGCCCCGCAGTAGTGATGATCTTTAATCCCGTGAAAACAGTCTCTGTCCGTTGGAAAGCCCGCTGGGGGAGCATATTGAATAGGAGGATCAGGACTGCGACCATTGCAATTCGGATCGCCATGCTGGGCTCAGGCGTCCACAAACTGAGATTGACCATGGCAGTGGTGATCTCGAAGGGGACCATCATTGCCAAGGAGTACCACCTGAGGTAGCCTAGAGAAAACCCTAGATGGTTGGAGCCATATTCATAGCTGTGAGCCACCATGGTACCGTTGAGCGCAGGTCGGTGGGCCGCAATCTCTGCAATGGCTGTTGTCAAGCAGTAAGATAACAAGAATACCAGTACATATGAACCAAGTAATGATGCTGGACCACCGGCAGCCAGAGCTTGGCCGGCCCCAATGAAGAGGCCGGTTCCAAAGGTGGGAATAAGAGCCATAATACGTGGTTAGGGATAGCGGAGGAGAAATAGAGGATGTCGAAGAGGCCTACGGATGTCCTGGTGTTTCTTCTGAGAAGACGAGGCTGCGGGCGTGGTTGCCGTATTGGAGGAAAGGGTACCTCCTTCCTCTTCCGACAAACCACAAGAAACGAAAAGGTTGACTGGGGATTGACTGGGGAAGCTCCGTTGCAGCAAGGAGTCATCTTACACCAGATAGGCGCTGCGACGCTATACGACAGATAGGCCAGAAATCCATGGGTATCATTGTATGCCAAACAGAGCAAGAATGACTGCAAGATGAAAAAGTCGAGATCTAATCTTCCCATAGCTAGACCGCAACAAACGCCAGTCCGAACAGAAAGAGACAAATAAGGACACCCAAAAGAGCAGCAAAGGAAACCCCGTCACGTATTGGGAAAGAGTCAGGGTGTATGGCTCCTGCAGTGCGTAGACACAGTGGGAAGAGGCTAAGGATAGGTTGCAACTGAGAGTTCCAGCGATGCAGCAGCAAAGTCACCTCGTCTCTATTGACAAGCCATATCGGTTCCAGCGTACTCGAGCCATTCTCCAGAGAGGGACTTCTTCCAGAATCGTACAATACCATCATCGCCTGAGGAAATGAGGCAGTCACCTGTGTAGAGACTAATTAGCACTGAGGGCAGTCTCGACGTTCCATTGTGAAGGGGGTCTGCCACTAACCAGCGTATGAAAAGCCAACTTGCCACACGTCTAAATGTTTGCTGTCAATGCATGCAATTTCCTTGAATGAATGCTTGAACTGAGAATCTGCGGGTGCAGCACGACTGGACATTGATACAGGAGCACGGCTTGCAAGGGCAGAGCCGATACCTGACTGGGTAGTCGCACGAATTGATGATGACTGCGATGAAGAATGTGCGTGGTTGCCATTGGAAGTCTGTGACCCGGAGCCAGAGGCCGTTGTATATACCTCAAACACTCGGATGAAGCCATCCTTGCAGCCACTAGCAATGAGGTCATATCCCCTCACTGACCCATTGGCCCAAGAGATATCCCTCACAAGACCGCCATGTCCCGTCAATTCGATGGCGTGGTAAAAGCGTCGACTTGCATCAGTGCGATAGATCTTTACGCTGTCCATGGCGGCCACCACCAGCGACAGACTTTTGCGATCTGAAGAGGGCAATACAGAATGCGTAATGTCCGAAGGATCATGGTGAAACTGCACTTTGAAGCTTGTCTCTTCTCCTCGCTGGGGAGCAGTGCAGACTCTAAATTGATCTAACGGCTGCCAATCCGCAAGAGTATCGGGGCTTACAGGCTCCATGATCATCAGGTAGCCATCGCGAGTAATAACGGCCATCCAGGATTCCAGATCAATGTTGCGAAAATCGATTGATACAAATGGGTGGCGCTGAGGGGCGGTCATGCGAAAGATAGACCTGAAACGCCGGCCTGAATTGGGGGGTTGCGTAACATCCTCCTGCCATATCTTGCATTTCATGTCTTCACCCACGCTGCCAATGTGCTGGCCCGTGAAAGGGCCATTCCAGGTCGCCTGAGTAACAGTTAAAACACAACAATACCAGACCAGATACCAAGGAACCAGGGGGCCACTGCCGTGGGAGGAGTGCTTACATCACGGATCTCCGCATCATGAGCACGCCAAGTATCTACGAGCTGCCATTCACCGTCTTTCTGGTCCCAGACCTTCATGCGGTGATCAGTTGAAGCTGTGACGATGCGATTGCCATAAAAGTTGAATTTGGTGACCGAAACCAGGTCTCTATGACCGGCGTCGAAGTCGGCGAATCCAGCCATGATGGGCGTGTGCGGTATCCCCAATCAGAGACGAGACGATCAAATCAATCAATCAGAATGCACAGCAACCAGCCTTTAGCCACCACCTTCAGGAAGCAAACATTCAGAGACGCGTCAAAGATCAACTGCAGAAACCTTAGAGGTGGGGGGTGAAGCCTTCCCCTGATCTATGTAGATCCGACCTTGCAATCGCCTATAGAAATCAAGCAAGGCGTGCAGTGCATATGAAAGCGCCGGGATGCGATAGCTTCAGGCAGCTTAGGTAAGGCAACCACGCCCGATGCCGGTCGGAGCTTGGTCTTCACCGCCTATGGGAAGAAAACGGCGGTCAACGATGTACCGGCAGAATAGAGCTCCTTCCCCAATTTCTCCACTTGCTTCTTGATGCCACCTTGCCTTTCTCCAGCGCCAGAGAGATTACGCGTCCTTATGGAAGTTAAATTCTACTTAGCATGAGGCCTTGGAGATAGGCTCACATCAAACCATTTGCGCGATGGCAGCAGCAAATACAAGCTCTCTTTCTCGCCAGGAGACCTGGCGGCTCTTCGCCTTGGTGGGAGCCTGCGTCGGCATCCTTCTGAATACTTTCCAAGGCGATGGCGCGCCCTTGGTAGCTTCGCTCGCGTTTAGCGGTATCGCTTTCGCAGTCGCATTTAGTATGATTCGATGGCTCGTACCAGTGTTCTTGAAGGCGGGCCTGAAAGGGCGAGATATGGCGAAACCCAGAAGACCCGAAATGTATGGATAACCCATGTTTCTTCATTTTCTTGTATGATAGCTTATCATTGCGTCCTTGGCGTTATGGCAATGCTAATGGGATTGTAATTAGACCGGAAACAATGGGAGCCGTTTGTGCTATTGTCTATCTCCTTGCTCTGATATTCTTCATCCCCTTTGCCTTTTACAAGGATATAGTGGCTGCCACCTCAGGTGGAGGCAACCGAGATGTCGTAATCGAGGTAGAACATGTTGAGACTGGCCGGATGCTACATCGGTTTCCGCATGGAAAGGTCTGTCATTTCGAATGCTCTAGTCTGCGCTAGCTTACTGACAGCGAAATTACACAGCTTGCATCCTATCTTTCCGGTCTTCTTTCATTGCAATGTATCGTCATTCTCGGAATTGGCGACGACCTACTTGATATCCGATGGAGACACAAGGTCCTCATTCCCGCCTTTGGCGCTATTCCGATGCTTATAGTATACTTTGTGGACTTTGGGGTTACGCAAGTCGTCGTGCCAGTGCCGCTGCAGCCCTATCTGGGCTCCACTATCGACCTCGGCTGGTTGTACTATGCCTACATGGCGGCCGTGGCCATCTTCTGCCCCAACTCTATCAACATGCTGGCCGGAATTAACGGAGTTGAAGTGGCCCAGTCTCTGGTGATAGCGGTTCTGCTGATAGCAAACGATGTCCTATATCTTGCACCCATAACACCATACCCGCATCCGGCAACGGACTCCCATCTGTTCTCTCTATACTTCTTGTTGCCTTTTGTTGGAGTGTCCGCGGCCCTCTTGTGCCATAACTGGTACCCATCAAAAGTTTTTGTGGGAGATACCTATTGCTACTTTGCGGGTATGGTGTTTGCCGTCGTTGGCATCTTGGGTCACTTCAGCAAGACGCTCCTGCTTCTCTTCATCCCGCAGATCTTCAACTTCCTATATTCAACGCCACAACTCTTTAACTTGATTCCTTGCCCGCGCCATCGGTTGCCCAAGTTCAATTCCGTCACTGGGCTGTTGGATGCATCGGTGACCGAATGGACTGTCCCGCCATCGCCACTGGTGGCTACTGCCCTAAACCTGCTGCACACATTACGGCTGGTGCGCGTCACCAAGAACGAACAGGGCCAGATTGTCGAGTCGACAAACCTCACCATCCTCAATCTGTGGCTCGTATGGGCTGGGCCAATGAAGGAGAACCAACTGGCGTGGAGTATGGTGGCTGTACAGACATTTTGCGGCCTTGCAGGTCTGTTTGTGAGGCACCGCCTCGCACTGCTGGTGTTCCGAGAAGATAATCTGGCATTCGGGAGTTCCGTATAGTAATGGGAGTGTGGTATAGTATAGAGTGTTAATTGTAATCGAGATGTTCAATTCAGAATGCAAGTACCTTCAAGAACAGTTTTTTAGCACCACACAGACTGGGCAAACAACCAGTCACTATGTAGAATGAACGAAGAACTGTATTATACTCAATCGACATTGCCATGAAGAACCCCCAAATTAGCTCCTTCAGGTGCTGTTCATAGCTAGCTTGGAGCTAGACACTGCCTTTGAAGGATCCTGAATTCGAATGCGCCATCGACGTGTGGAGCATTCCCTACGAAAGAGACTACTATAGAGCTGAAGAACATGGACAGAGAGGACGGCTCCATATGTATCGTTTAGTAGGCCCCACATCTCCACACCCCACATCCTCCACCAGCACACTCACTACTAGTATTTCATCCTATAAACACCCAAGCCATATACTGTGCTAACCACCACTTACTACACGCTGAAATCCACCCCAGCTACCAACAGCAACGGCAAATATCCATTGGTGAAACTATAAAACAGCTTCTTGTTCTGCTAAACTATTCACTCTACAAATGGCAAGATGACTATACAAAGATTTGAGTCAATTGAGCAATAAAAAAACCATGTTATCTGTCTATCTCTCGTTAAAGAAGGCTAGGTCCTCAGGGTGTTCTTGTAGCCATAGGAAGACTGGTTATCCTGTGATCGTGGCCTCCTGGGGCTCAGTGCAAGCATACGGCGCGCTCAATCCCTTACATTCTCTCATATCTAGGCCTGGCCAGTCATTTAACTTCCTCCGCTAAAGCCTACATTTTTCTCCCTCGTATTCGTATGCAGTCCTGCTTCAAAGTCATAGTACTATAAATTACAAAATGATTACGAGCGGAAGAATTTCCACGAACGGCGGAGACTCTAAACTGTAGATAAGGGGATCTAGCCCGCTTAAAAACCCCGAATATCTCACTAAATGTGACGAGTGGAGTATAAGGACCTGTTCTACTACGTACTGCCATTGTATATCTACTCCGTACTCCATTCAAGTCAGCGAAAGCGCCAATCAACACTGCTATTCACCTAGAAGGCTACTGTGTATGTATACTCGCTTGGTGATTTCGCCTGTCCTCTTCCATCCGATCAAATCATCCTCCATCTGCCCTTCCACCATCTTCGAGTTCGGTCTAACTTGACAGCTCTCTACACAAAGCCAACGGATATGCATATGTTTCTAACTGACCGAAGATGCTCGGTGTCTCCAGAACTGCCACATGCGATCTTGTCAAAACCCAACATCTCGCCTGCATGGAAGAGTGATTTCTCTTGAGCTGTGAATTGCCCCATGTCCTACTCCGGAGACGGGAGAGTATGTGTATACAAAAGATACCCCATTAGCATTGAGCTGATACTGACTGGCCGGTTTATAGGGTCACTCAGAACGAAAGATCCCAGAGATATTGTTGCCCAAGATGAGATACGGAACACCAAGAATTCACCAACCTTCTAGAGGAGGGTCAACACATCGACGAAAACCTCTGCCAATCGGTAAATCATGCATTGAACTCTGTTCAACAGCATGGCATATTATGTTGTTTTTCTACTATAGTGCCACCAGCAGAGTACTGCAACTTTCGAATGAGAGCAAACGGCCCGCATCATCGTCTAACAAAGAATGTATTATTGGGAGCATCCAATAAGCACCAAAATCGAAAATCGATTAACAATACTACACGAAGCGTATGAACCATAACGTGTTTCCGATCTACAAGCCCAGAAGCTTCTACTTTGACTCATCCTATCGCCCTCAAAGCTGGCTGCACCATGCTCCGATAACGGATAGCTCTAGCAGCAGTATGACTCAGGCGAAAGCTGTGAAATGTGATCGGCTGATTCGCATCTTTCGAGGAACATACCTTGTGGGAACCACTGATTGGGCTTATCAAAAGCGGCTCTCATGGACTACGAAGTATTGACATGTGGAAAAAGGAAGGCATGCGAGACATAGCGTTGCTCAGCTACTATAGCGCCAGGGAATCAGCCAAAAGAGGTGATGACCTGTGGTCTTGTCGATCAAATTAGGCAACATCACAAACTAGCGCCATTCTCTCCAGTACAACCGGGCAAGCTAAGCATTCCAAGTGGGCTAATCATCCCTCTTTCCCGACAAAACAGATTATCGGACCGGAACTCCAAAGGACTCCGGGATTTATCCGGAGATTGGCGGTCAATGATGTGCCGAAGTATGATTATTCGTGATCCTGACCGACATAAACAAGAAGCAAGTAGTGGATGCGGCCAGACGGCATGCGTGCAATTCGTACAGTGCTGGTGACCATGACACATCCAGAAAAGATAGACAGTTGTTGCAGTTCAAGATGAACTAGGCGCTTCTAGTGTTAATCGGCACATGCAACTCATACTCTTTCAAATCCAATCAATCCAGACCGGTTAGTCAGGGCGGCGTCATTTGCCGCGTCTAAGCGCCACTCCGGCCGGTGTCGGTCCCCAGAATTTTCGGCCGTAGCCAATCGCCACCCAGCAATTGGGTGCTGACCACCGACACCGGCGCTGCCCCTCGACAAGCCGCGCTGCGACATCGCGGGTCTTCCCCAGTTAAAACCATCTTCGCTTCTCCCAGTCCAGCTATTCATATTTCCTATCTATCTTTCACTGTCTTTCCCCGTGTTTGGGCTTTATCCCTTCTCCTCATTTCTCCCCAAAATACACTCTCATCCCCCACATTCTATATTTCCGTTGATCTCCTACATACACATTGCCCCTCATGCCCGGCGCTGATAGGAAACCCAAGACCTTGTATGACAAGGTCCTGGACCACCACATTGTCAACGAGCAGGAAGATGGTACTCTCCTGATCTACATTGACAGACACCTTGTGCACGAAGTCACATCTCCCCAGGCCTTTGAGGGTCTCAAGAATGCTGGTCGCAAAGTCCGCCGGCCGGACTGCACTCTGGTGACCGTTGACCACGTATGTCTTTCATTTCTTTTTTTTTAACCCTATATTAGGAACGAGTCAATCACTAACTACCTTGATGATAGAATATCCCCACCTCCTCCCGCAAAAACTTCAAGAACGTTGATGAGTTCATCAAAGAGAACGACTCCCGTCTGCAATGCAGCACCCTCGAAGAGAACGTCAAGGACTTCGGTCTCACATACTTTGGCATGGGCGACAAGCGTCAGGGTATTGTCCACATCATCGGTCCCGAGCAGGGTTTCACCCTCCCCGGTACCACCGTCGTCTGCGGTGACAGTCACACCTCTACACACGGTGCCTTTGGTGCCCTTGCCTTCGGTATCGGTACCAGTGAGGTCGAGCACGTTCTCGCCACTCAGACCCTCATCACCCGTCGCAGCAAGAACATGCGCATCCAGGTCGATGGCGAGCTGCCCGCCGGTGTCACCAGTAAGGATGTCGTCCTCCACATCATCGGTGTCATTGGTACCGCCGGAGGTACCGGTGCCGTTATCGAGTTCTGTGGTTCCGTCATTCGCAGCCTGAGCATGGAGGCCCGTATGTCCATGTGCAACATGTCCATTGAAGCTGGTGCCCGTGCCGGTATGATCGCTCCCGATCAGATCACCTTCGACTACCTGAAGGGCCGTCCTCTCGCTCCCAAGGTCGACAGCCCCGAATGGACCAGGGCCGTCAACTTCTGGTCCAGCCTCGCCTCTGACGAAGATGCCGTCTACGACAAGACCGTCATCATCGACGGCAAGGACATCATCCCCACCGTCTCCTGGGGTACCTCCCCCCAGGATGTCATCCCTATCAACGGCGTCATTCCCGGCCCCGATGACTTCGAGGATGAGAACCGCAAGCTCGCCTGCAAGCGCGCTCTTGAATACATGGGCCTGACCGCCGGCACCCCCATGAAGGACATCACGGTCGACAAGGTCTTCATTGGTTCTTGCACCAACGCCCGTATCGAGGATCTCCGCGCCGCCGCCAAGGTTGTTCGCGGCAAGAAGATTGCCTCCAACATCAAGCGTGCCATGGTCGTTCCCGGTTCCGGTCTTGTCAAGCAGCAAGCCGAGTCCGAAGGCCTCGACAAGATTTTCTCTGACGCCGGCTTCGAATGGCGTGAGGCCGGTTGCTCCATGTGCCTGGGCATGAACCCCGACATTCTCTCCCCCCAGGAACGCTGCGCCAGTACCTCCAACCGTAACTTCGAAGGTCGCCAGGGTTACGGCGGTCGCACTCACCTGATGTCCCCCGCCATGGCTGCCTCCGCCGCCATCGTCGGCAAGCTGGCCGACGTGCGCGAACACCTCACCTCCAGCCCCGTCCTCGGCAAGGTGCAGCCCAAGATCGACGTGCAAGAACAGCTGCACGAAGAGCCCACTACCGAAGATGAAGTCGAGCGCATCATGGACCTCCCCGCCGACAACGAACCCCACACCAACTCTTCCGCCACCGCCACCTCCTCCGCCGGCCTCCCCAAGTTCACCACCCTGAAGGGTGTCGCCGCCCCGATGGACCGTTCCAACGTCGACACCGACGCCATCATCCCCAAGCAATTCCTCAAGACCATCAAGCGTACCGGTCTTGGCAGCGCCCTGTTCTACGAGCTCCGCTACAAGGACGGCGCCGAGGACCCCTCCTTCATCCTGAACCAAGGCATCTACCGCAACTCGAAGATCCTCGTCGTCACCGGCCCCAACTTCGGCTGCGGTAGTTCCCGTGAACACGCCCCCTGGGCCCTCCTCGACTTCGGCATCAAGTGCATCATCGCCCCCTCCTTCGCCGATATCTTCTTCAACAACACCTTCAAGAACGGCATGCTACCCGTCGTCATCAGCGACGAGGCCGTCCTGGCCAAGATCGCCGCTGAGGCCCACGCCGGTCGCGAAGTCGAGGTCGACCTGGTCAACCAGCAGATCAAGGACGCCGCCGGTAACAAGCTCGCCCACTTCGACGTCGATGGCTTCCGCAAGCACTGCCTGATCAACGGTCTCGATGACATTGGTCTGACTCTGCAGATGGAGTCCAAGATCAAGAACTTCGAGAACAAGAGGACCATCGAGACCCCTTGGTTGGATGGCAGTGGT